AGCATTGGATCCAGTCTTTTCCTTCATGAGGTTCCATTCATTTTTTCCCTCTGAAGCATCTCTTCCTGTTCATCTCCCCCTCATTCCAGGACCCCAGCACCTTACCTCTCACCCCCATGCATTCTGCACCAAATCTAGGCTCTTTGGCCTGGATCTCAAGGTGTTTCCTCCAAAAACGCATGAAACCATCCTATGCATTGCTCCTGTCTTTGGCCCACTGCTGCTCATGTTTCTCCCTCTCTGGCTTGCATATTCTTCTTCTCTTTTCCTCAAAGAACAATTCAAATTCTACTTCCTCTATGTAGGGTTGCAATTTTAAGCAAATAAAATACCCAAATATGCAGTTAAATTTGAATTTTGGATAAACAACAAAAGCATTTTAAAAATGTGGGACATATTTATGCTTAAAAATACCTGTTGTTTTTCTGAAATTCATATTTAATTGGGCACCCTATATTTTACCTGTCAACCCTACCACTTCAGAACCTTTGTTTAATAACCCAATTCTCCCTTATCTCCGACTTTTATTTCCTAAAGTATCTACATCAGTTTTTCATTATATGCTATCTTCTACTACTTATTGACTATATGCATAGAATTAACACTTATTGAGCAATTATATCAGACTCTGTACTTTTTTATTTTTATATAATCGTTTATTGAATTCTTACAAGAAATGTGTGATAACCATTTTATAAATGAGGAAGATGAGTCTTTGAGAGGTTATTTGATTTGTTCAAGGTCCCAAAACTAATTAAAGTTCAACTTTGATCTCTCTGTAGGGTGACCATCTTGTTCTGGTATCCTTGGCATTGTTCTGATTTTAATGTTGAAAGTATCTTCCCAGGAACTCTCTCAGTTCTGGGCTGAATCTATATATTTGACATTAAAGCCTGGGAGTCTCTCCCACTTCCCCCATATTTTAGAGTTTTAATGTTTCCTCCTCTCAGGTTATAGAGTTCTTAACGTAAGGGTGTTTACTAAGAATTAGTAAATGCTTGACAAATGAGGACCAGGAGCTCCCCTCAGAGCTCGCACCTCTTTGGATTGCAAGAGCTGAGGACTGTGTGGACCAGTGTGCTGGGGACGGCCAATCTTAGATGTAGCTGAGACCTGAGCATGGCCAGCATCCATGATGTCACTGGGCACTGCTTGCAAAGATGTTAGGGCATTGTTACTAGCAACAGTTCTTTGAATTGGTGAAAATGCAGCTCCAGGGTAGGTGTGTGGTGCCTCACTTGACAAGTGGAACCTTGAGAGACTCCCTGCTTTGAAGTCTGAGTTAAGGCATGGCGAAGGCTGGAGAAACAGAAACCACGGGGTCAAGAGAAGGCCTGCATAGGGTGGGCAGCAATCTCATCAGCACCTTGCAGGGTGGACAGCGCCCAAGGAAGCTGAGAATCTGGTGGGGTTTTTTTGCAGGGACTGTGCTTTTGTGCAATGGGCACATCTCCAAAACATGGTTATATTATTATGTAATAACCAAGCTGTTAACATGATGCTAGGCAGGTGTTGTTGTTATGCTACAGAGCGGTTAATGAGGTGTGATGGGAAGGGCAGAAACAATAGACTTCCATTCTCCAAGGCCATCTGCATGACTTGTCTCAACTTCATTTTGAACACAGGTCATGATGGAGCACATGTTAAATATAAAAACTAAGTAAGCTGTCTGTGGAGAAATCATTTGTAGAAATCACTTGCTATTTTAAAATTATTTAGTTAAATCATATTGATAAATGAGAAGATCTCAAGGCAACTTTATTTTCAGTTGCTAAATTTAACTTTAAAATGCTGGAATTTTTAAATATGCTTTTGTTTCAGGCTTTTAAGAAAACGTAACAGATATGGGGCATAAAAGTTAGCCAGGGGTTTCTATTTTGAACAGTACTGAAAGAGTCCTAGCCCTTTCTTCTTTAGAAATTGGTGGTGGCTTTTCCCCAAAGGACAGTTGGGGCCATCCTGGTCAAGCCTCAACCTCTTTCCAGCCTGTGCTGTAGGTTCTCCTCCAGCTATATATAATGTTTCAGAGAGGAAGGGAGAGGGCATCAAGCCTGCAATCCGGGCACGTGTCTTTTTAAAAAATATATATTTTATTGATTTTTTACAGAGAGGAAGGGAGAGGGATAGAGAGCTAGAAACATCAATGAGAGAGAAACATCGATCAGCTGCCTCCTGCACACCCCCTACTGGGGATGTGCCCACAACCAGGGTACATGCCCTTGACCAGAATCGAACCTGGGACCCTTCAGTCCACAGGCCAACGCTCTATCCACGGAGCCAAACGGGTTAGGGCCGGGCATGTATCTTTGACTGGAATCAAACCTGGGACCTGTGAGTCTGCAAGCTGACGCTCTATCCACTGAGCCAAATTGGCTAGGGCCAGCTAGATTCTTTACTCTTCTCCACACACACCTTAGCTTTTTTGCCTCCAAGCGTTCCTCTTGCAAAGTGTCATGGTTAAGAGTTTAATCTCCTGAACTAGACTGCCTGAGTTCAAATCCTGGTTCTGCTACTACGGTGTGATCTTGGGTGAGCTACCTAACTACCGTGTGCCTTGAACTCTCTCACTGGAAACTGAAGCTGAAATGATATTTCTCCATCAGGAGTGAAATGATTCATGAACATGCTTAGAACAACACACATCACACCCCAAGCACTCAGTAAATGCCAGCTCCTTGTTTTTATACCTGGATCTCATTATCCTTCCCACTTGGCTCAAAATGTCTCTGTCTTGACGCCTTTCCCAATTACCCCATCCTGTAAAGTGCGCTCCCTCTTGGGAAATTCCTAGTATTGACACTGCTGTTGTTGGTTTTTTTTTGTTTGTTTTGTTTTGTTTTGTTTTTTTTTTTGGCAGGTTGTTGATATTCTTTTCTCATGACCACACACTACAGTTTTTACCCTGCTATTTCATGAGCACTCACTTTGAGTCAGGCCTAGGGCTCATGACCACACTTGGAGGTAGGTATTTCTTCTATTTTTAAAAAATCCTCACCCAAGAGAGAGAGAGAGAAAGGGAGGGAGAGGGAGGGAGGGAGGGAGAAACATCAATGTGAGAGAGAAACATCAATTGGTTGCCTCCCATAAGCGCCCTGACCCTGGATCGAACTTGCTACCTAGGCATGTGCCCTGACTGGGAATCGAACCTGCAACCTTTTGGTGCTCCAACCAATGGAACCACCCGGCCAGGGCCCCAGCTGCTGTTGAACATACCATACATACATAGTCTCCCCAATTTGTCAGCCGTCTGTTGACTGTTTCTATAGTATTCCTCACTGAAGAGAAACCTTAGTTGTGATGTAGCCAAACCTCCCAGTCTTTTGCTTTAAGGTTTGTGCTTTTGCATGCTTGTTTTATGAAGTCAGCCCCTACCCTGCATACGTAAAGATATTCTCCTAGATTTCTTTTCTGCCTTTCAAATGTGGGTCTTAATTCATCTGGAGTTCACCTTTGTGTATGGTGGATGTGGGAAACCCAACTTCATTTTTTTCTTCATAACCTAAGCCAGTTTCACCAATACAATCTTCTAAATAATTTACATTTTTCTCATTAATGTGTGGTTCCACCTTTACAAATACTGAGGTGCCATGGGTCTGCTTCTGAGTTCTCTATTGTTCACTGTTCCGTGATTGCACTAGTACCACACATTTTTATCACCGTGTGGTAATGACATCATATCTGGCAGGGCCGGTTTCCTCTCTTGGCTCTTGATTTTCAAAACTGGCTTAACTATTTCAAAATTTATTTTTCCTTACATATTTTATAAGTTTATTGAAGTTCCTTAAACGTTGAGTTCCTGCTGAAATTTTGGTGGTTATAAAAGTAAACTTAGAGTTTAAATGGGCATTTTTACAATGTAAAGTCATCCTATCCATGGAATATCTTCATTTATCCAATATTCTTGTATGTCCTTAAGTAGAGTTTTAAACTTTTCTCCATAAAGTTCCTGGATACTATGCTTTAGCATTTAATTGCTATGCTGAATGGTATCTTATTGCCTATTATATTTCCTGGTTGCTTACTGCTGATGTTCAAGAAACGATTGATTTTTAGAAATTGATCTTGTACTTGGCAACCTTCTTGAACTCACTTATTACTTCTAATAGTTGATTCTGTTAAGATTTTCTAGGCTAATGATTTTATCATTTGCAAATAGAAATATTTTAGGGGCTCTACCTAGTGCTCTGCTTTGATATTTTGCATTTAACTACCCCTGCTAGTTGGACTCCAATCTGGTACCCCAATTCTGACAGCTGGATGTCTCTTGTATACCCCGATTCTGGAAGCAGAATTCTTTTCTTCCCTCCTCTGAATGATATCCTGCTCACTACCTCAGTCCATGTAAGAGCAGTGACACTGTCTTCTTTTGCCTATTCCCTCCAATCCTCTCATGGTTTGGTAGACTCTCTAATGGTTTGGTATCCTGGGAATTTGCCTGTGTGCGCTATATGGTGTTTGGGTGTAGCAGAAAAAGCCAGTGGCCTGGCTGGTTCTAACAGAGACTTTTATTATCATTAAGAACAACTCAGCTAGCCACACCCTGCCATTTACTAAAAGGGGTATCTCAGAGGAATAATGTAAATCAGCAATAAAAGTGAACTGTATACCTGTGGAAACTTCATCAATAGCCTCTTCTGTCACACATGGATCTTTATGAGTTTCTGTGCTCACTGGCAATAGGGAACATTTATAGTTACTTAAAGCCAACCAAGGGCAGATTGCCTTCCTCCTTTTCATCAGTTAAAGAGTTGGGCGGGGTCATGGAAGAACAGGGTAGAAGAGAGCAGGGAGAGGGAGGTGGAGTCCGCCCCCCCCCCCCCCCCCCCCCCCCATGGAGAAGTAAGCCTCTGCCTCACATTATCATCCCTGAGAAAGCAGGAAGACGCTAAACCTGCAGGGACAGAGAAACTGGCAGCTGACCAGGAACTGTGGGATGGTCATGGCATGTACCTGTTGTGCAAGTGCTAGGGTTTTAGTTGACAGCATGCCCCACCCCATTCAGCAATGTGATGTGACTGCTGCAAACACCGGTTTTGATAATTTGAGCTACGCTAATGGAAGCATAGGACGCAGAAAGAGGTGGCCGCTTCTCTCCTCTCCACGCAACAGGACACCCGTTTCCTTCCTGAGCTCTAGACAAGCTGAGGTGCACGCCTCAGAGTCCCTCAACATGCGGGTGAGTGGGGTCATCACCCTGTCCTATAAGGAACAGCCTCAGGGGACAGAGAATGCTTGTCCTCTGGACCCTGCCTAGGAGTCAGGTCCGATCCGTAAGTTCCCTGGGGTAGAGAGAGGAGGAGATGCGGGGAGGGGACGTTAGCTCCCAAGGTAGGAAGGACTTCTCAACAAGGCTGACGACAGGGAAAATGGTTGCTTTCAAAGGAAGGGCGTTCTTGCAGAGACATGAATAGGCATTTATTCAGTATCAGCGGCTGCCAGGCACTGTGCTTGGTGCACGGAGAAGTACAGGGTAGTAATCTGTACATCAGAGCCAGAACAAAGGGCCCGGAGAGAGCACTACGGACTCGGTGTTAAAAACCTCAGTCATGGGAAGCAATGGACGTATTTTCTTCATCAAGGGGACTCATTAAGTGTCAAATAACACCTTCCCTTCCCCGGGATGATGGAGATCCAGGATGCCAGCCTTCGTGCTGTTAGTTGTCACAGTTACATCACTTTCTGTTTTGGGGGGGAGGGAGAAGGGGACCAGGAGAGGAGAGGGCGAGAAGGGCCAAAGCAGCAGGGGAAATGAATTTCTGGGATGACTGCTCACTTTTGCTTCTACACTGACCCCCTTGGGTGTAATTATCCAACTTGGGGCAGAGCACTGACCAGGCTTTTTACAGCCAGACCTGCAAACAGGCAACTGACCCATGGACCTCCTCTGGGCTGTGAGCGGGGCTAGACGCTGGGGAACCCCAAACGGACTTGACCAGGTCCCTTCCCCAAAGAAGGTGGTAGGAGCGCTTCTAGCTCTGGAGGCAGGTCTGGTCGGGCCGGCTAAGGGCTTTCATAGAAGAGTGTGCAGCGGGCCAAGGGCTGCTTCCCAGGTCACTGCCCTGGGCCAGGCGGGGTTCCCCGGAGCCCGCCT